AAAAAGAAAAACATTAGGAAATAAGAAATGGAAAATTATTTGTTGATGATAACATGTATGCTGATGTGCTTGATTGAACCAATATACAGTGTAATCTGGATGGAAAATCTCATTTTGCATGTTGTAATGATGTACAGTGAATGAATGTAAATAAATAAATTTAAATTTGAAAAAAAAAAAGTGTGCAATAAAATGTAAATAGTTTGGGGCCAGCAGGTGGTATAGTGGTTGGGGCGCTGGACTCCCCCATGGCTGACTGTAGTTCGAGTCCCAAATTTGATGGCTTGAAACTCACACTCAGGTGGGTGTGCATGCGTGCCCAAAATCCCAGGAGGAGATTGGAGAAAAAGGGATTACGGCATGGTCATCCTCCCCCAGAGAGTGATTCTCATTTTCTTTCTCACTGTGTCTCTGTCTCTTTCTGGCAAGTGCACCTGTCCTACAGCAAAAACCGTTTAAAAAATGTACATAGACTAAGAACCACTTACATTTATTTCATTCTAACTAAGATTGGGAACAGCTTCCTGATTATATCAGCTAGAATGCAACTGAGGAGCTAAAAGACAAAACAACGGAGACTTTTTTTCTAAAAGGGTACGTGGTTAAGTAATAATGGAATTAATGCATTGTATAGTTTTATTTTTTAAAGAATTATTTTATTTGACTTTATTTATTTTAATTTGACCAGGGAGAGGCAGAGAGAGAGAGAGAAAGGGAAAGTGAGAAAGCAAGTCACCAAGTTCGGGACTCAAACAACAGCTGGCCATATGGGAGTCCAGTGCCCTTAACCACCATGCCACCTGCCGGCCCCAATGTCTTGGGTAGTTCTAATCTGGCCCAAAAGCAGTTATACAAGGAGTGCTCCAGAGCTCCCGTTACTCTAGCTATTTCATTCTCACTTTTTTGAAGTTGAAGAATCGCCCATTTTCACAAAGTATCAATAACGGATTATTTATACTTGCTATAACTCACAATTAGAATCATCTCAAGATACAGTGAGTTTCTAGATAAAAATCAAAATGCCCCTAACGTAGTGTGTACTGGAACCTATGTGGCCCAGTCTTCCCTCCCTGTCTCAGCTCAAAACAAAAACAGAATACAAGGGAGAACTGCCCAAGCTTTGCTGTTAGTGCAGCTTTTAAGTGCAACCACTTCCACTAGATGGCACTAAATACCCTGTGTTTCAGAAATCAGGCCCAAAAAGAAAATCAGAAGGTGAGAATGATCGCTCTGAAATAAACAAGAAATTTCTCAGATAACTTGTCCTGTCATTATATTCAGTTCCTTAGAAATAAAACATGAATCTTGGTTATTTATTCACTCATCAAACATTTATTGAACCATATTATGTTTCAAATTCTGTGCCCAGTATGAGGAATGTGGAAATAACACTTGGTCTCTTGCTCTTAAGGGTTCACATTGTGGGAGGGAACAGATCTAGTGAGGAAAGAGCAGAATCAGACAAACAAGTAGAAAACTGAAAGCAGAATGCTAAAGACTTGATAGAGGTTATCACAGAGCACCAGGGGTAGCACACAGAGGGGCATCTAATGAAGACTTGGTGAATGGAAGATTCTTTTTTAAAAAAATTATTTAATTTTACTTGTTGTTATTATGCTTTTTAAATTTGACCAGAGAGAGAGCAAAAGGGAAAGTGAGAAAGCAAGCCACGAGGTCTGGGACTCAAACTGTGGTCGGCCATGCAGAAGTCCAGCACCTTAAACCACCATGGCACCTGCTAGTCCCGGAAGATTCTTTTTTTTTTTATTTGCTAGAGGGTGCATGTACTTGCTGGAGAGAGAGAGAGAGAGAGAGGGAGAGAGAGAGAGAGAGGGAGAGAAAGCACTCCCCACTCCATGGGAGTCAGGTCACATTTCCTCCTCTGCTGTTTCTCCTTTCAGGATTTTGGACACACACACACTCATACACCTGGCATGTTTTTCAAGCTGCCTGGTTTAGAGTTCAACTGCGCAGCTAGGCATGTGGGATTCAGCCACCTTGATCACCAAATCACTGACAAGCCCAAAAAGGAAATTTTGTTTGAACTGAGATTTAAAGAATGGGCAAGGGGACTGGCAGGTTGCATGGTAGTTAAGGGTGCTAGACTCCCACTATGGCTAACCATAGTCCGATTCCTGGACCTGGTGGCTTGCTTTCTCACTCCCCCTCCCCCAGGTCAAATTAAAATAAATATATATAAAGCTAAATAAAATAATTCTTAAAAAGAAAAGAATGGGTCGGAATTAATTATGCAAAGGAGAGTAGGCAGGGCGTCCTTGGCAGAGCAGTAGCTCCTATAATCATAAAAGGCTGAAGCTCAGAGTACACAGTGAGGTTGGGATGGGCAAGCGCAAGAAAGGAGTCTGGCTGAACTGGTAAAAGTAGGGTCATGGGAAGCCACATATATCTACATCTATTCACTGGACTTAGCAAATAGGAAGTTAACGTTTAGTTTGGCAAAAGCAAGTTCAGGGAAATGGTGCGAGCGAACACCAGACTGCAATGTTCAGAAGTAAAACGTGAAGAATGAGCAAAGCACATGTAGATTGTTCTTTTGAAGAGGTTTGGCTATGAAGGAGAAATTGGAAGCTAGACCGGGGCACAGGATAGAAAAGACAAGCACAGCAATGAGCTGAAGAAAAGATCTACCAGAAAGGAGAGAATGAAGACAGAGACAGAGAAGAGGCAGGTGGGTCTGGTCTTTAGAGCACAGGTCTCAGGAGAAAGAACTCTCCTTTCTTTGAAGTAAAGGAGAAGGATGGATGGTGACTAATAGAGACAGGTGGAATGGTAACGATAAGTCTGACACAGCTCTCTGGTTCCCTTTGCACACATTTGCCCAGTGTCTGGTGGTACTGACCAAGCAAGGTGTCCTAGGCAGACCTGCCTGGTTTCCTGATACAGTCTAACTTTAGTACCTCCCCTGACTTGGGCAATAGGGGTCTCTTTTCAGATACTTTGATGGATTCTGGTCACTTTCATCAGTCCAGTTCCTCGGAACCCAGGACTGCTGCTCTTCTCTGTACCTATTTGCTTCCTGGGGTTCCCAGAGAAATGAAGCGATGTGTAAGCATGGAAGAAAATATTGAACTAATTCTGAGAAAGGAACAGCCTTAATAAATCCCTTCTTATCTTGTCATCTCATCCCATACGACTTACAGCCTCCACTGTCTACAGAACCCTTGTTTGGTCCTGTCTACTCTCCCATTATTTGAGATCACAGTTCCGTTTTATCAATAAGTCTATTAAATGCCTACTGTAGGTAATAGGTTGAATGTCAAGGGATTTTCATCTTAACAAAGAGACAAGGAATACATAGGTACATGTATGTGTATGTTACGTGAGTGTATACATGTACTATATATGCATTAACATATATACACACATACATAATAAAAATAGTATTATATGGTAGCACAAACTGCAAATTAAACAATATAGGTAAAAGAGCTCTTAGAGCTCAAATCTTGGCAAAGACCAAGAAATCTGTTTGGCAATGTTTAAGACATAACTAAAAGGCTGGTTTTATGGCAATATTATGAAATCCATAAGGGGGTCCAGCAGATGGTATGAGGGTTAAGGGTGCTGGACTCTCACATGGCTGACCGCGGTTTGAGTCTCGGACCTGGTAGCTTGCTTTTTCACTCTCTCTCTTTCTGTCCCTCTCTGATCAAATTAAAATAAATTTTAAAAAATAAAGTTAAATAAAAAAATTCTTAAAAAAAAAAAAAAAGAAAAGAAAAGAAATCCATAAGGGGCCAGTAGGTGGTGTGGTGGTTAAAGTACTAGACTCCCACACAGTTGACCATTTATGAGTCCTGGACTTGATGGCTTGATCATGCTGGATAAATATGTGTGTATGTCCAAAATTCCAGGAGGAGAATGGAGAAGGAATTGTGGCATGGCCATCCCCCCCGGAGGTGATTTCTCACTTTCCCTCTCACTGTCTCTCTCTGGTGTGTGCATGTACCCTACAGCAAAAAGGAAAAACAAAACAAACAAAAGAAAAATCCATAATTAAACTACAGAGATGGGGAGCTACTGAAGGTTTTAGAATAAAGACTACTTACACTACTTTTACATGCTTTTCTAATTAATTTGGAAGGACTGTGTACATCGATTAAGAAATGGAGAGCAGGAATAATTCAGAGACTACTGTGATATTGGAGTGGAGGTGATAAAGTCCTGCACCATCTTAAAAATTCTATTCAGTAAGTGTTGGCAGTGGAGATGGAAAGAAATTGGTACCTGCTTGGATATGGCAAAAGAGATAGGAAGCCAGTAGCACTATAAGGTTTCAAGCTGGAGGGAAAGGAGACTGCTGATAACTCTAGAGAGACTTAAATAGGAAATTTCATGGAGCATAGTTTAATGAGCAAAGAAGCTTAATGAAGTTTAAGATATGTGGAGTTTAAAGTGATGGAAACACATTTGGGTGCAAATGACAACTGTGAGGAAAGCTCAGGAAATATCAGTAGTAGCAGCACGTATCTGGGAATTGTCTGCATAAGAGGAAATGTAGAGGGAAAAACATCGGGATAGCACGGAAGCAGAACCAGTTTGGAAGGAGAATGTGAAAAGCAGACCAAGAGATTCGAAAGCCAGGAGAGTAGAGTATTTCAGAAGTCAAGGAAGAAGCAAGTTTTACGGATGAGGAGATATGTAATAATGATGAATACTTAAGAAATTGCTTATTGAGAAAAGTCCAGTAATAATGTCATTTGTGATTGTCAAGCTAAGAGTTTCAATAGGAAAGAGGGGAGAAATAAATGGGTGGTGATAGTGATAATGAAAAGATGCCAAGGAAATCAGAGAATGAGACTACTCCTGAGAAATGAAGTGGTAAAAACGACCAAAGTTAGTAAGTTGAAGAAGAGTTGGGTCCAGGGAGGATTTATTACCCCCTCTAGGCTTAATCATAATTCTTGGCAGAAAGCTCATGTTAGTAAAGGACTGATTAAAAATATAGTAGGAGCAGAATGTTGAGGAGGTAGAAGAGGTTGAGATAAAGGAGAGAGGTCTTGAAGGTTGACCTCCGAACAGAAAGAAGGCAATCAGGTGTGAGAGTAGTTGTGAAGGATCATAGATAAATTTTTACAATTTATTGGATACATTTAATCACTATACATCACTACAGTTAATCCTAGTTAAATTTTAAGTAGAATGGTGAGGGAATTTTCCAGACAGCCTTGCTTTTCTCAATGGAGCAGTTGGCTGCTGAGTTTGTGAGGGATTCAATGCTTGAGAAACTCAAGAGAACAAAGGGTAGAGGTGGCTGGGGTAAAATCATTGGCATGACATCATAAGACTGTGTCCTAGATAGCTTGTCTGGCCACCAGACTTCTTTGAGACTGTTTCCTCACAAAGTTGTAAGAACATGAAATGAGATAATGCACATGTAAACGATAAAGCACTTCTTCAATAAGAGACGGTTAAAATACCTACCACAGGGAATGTGATATGTCATGAATAAGAGATGAAGCAAAGCAGAGCCAGGCATCAGGGAGGGTAGGGATGAAGTTCCGAGCAAGAATATATAACCGAACCCAGTTCCACAGTTGTGACTTACTCCAGCACGCTGGAGTGGAAAAGGCAGATTCCAAAATGAGGGCAGATGTAGAGAAGACGAGGATGAAGAAAAAAATCTAGGTAAGGATGATTTTAAGACCTTTGTAGGAGGACCAGCAGATGGCATAATGGTTACGGCGGCTGGACTCTCACTCAATGGAGTTGGTTGAGTCCTGGACCCAGCAGCTTTAAATTCACACTGGGTGGGTGGCCACCGCCCCCCGCCCCCCAGAGGGTGATTTCTTGCTTTCTCTCTCTCTCTGGTGAGGGCACACACCCAATAGCAAAAATTTTTCACAAAACAAAGTTTATATTCTTACATTTGGAAATTACCATGTAATTTTTATGAAAAAGTGCCATATGACTTACTGACATGTATATTTTAGAAACAGACAAGCACTTCAGTCCTTTTTATTTTATAAATAATTTAGACTCAACTTTTTTTTTTCCTCCCCCAGATTCTACTATTTTTAAAAGCTTAGGCTCCAGGCACTATTCCTCTAACAGGAAATGGATAATGAAGATAAGGAAGACATCAATGCAACAGCTGCCCGTTCAGTCCAAACCAAGCAGGGAAGATCGAGAACAAAGAAAGCCAGCAAGACAGTCTGACATACTAGACAGGCTTAAGCGGAGGGTAAAGAGTCAGAGTGTTACTATCAAAAAGTGACTAAAAACAGGCTGGAGGGTAAGGAGTCAGTGTGTTACTATTATCGGAATTTTGGAGATCTAGGTCCCAAATCTCAGGTGTGCTGCAAAGCTTCCAATTCAGGAGACTCCTGGCTAGGATACATAAAACAGGCTAAGAAATTAGAAAGTTAAGGGTGCCAGATGTGTCCATCTTCCCAATTAGTTTGTGAGACCACAAAGGGCTTGTCCTTCACTGACAGCCACCACTGTCTCATTGTGACCAACCAGGAGCCCTCCTAGGTAGGTAAAAACAGACGGGCCAAACTTGACCTCTGCTCTTTTCTGTTACACAGAAATGCAGAATTCTGGATGGCAAATATGTAACCGCTT